TCATCACTCTTCCTGATCTGTCTAACTATATCAAGATCATCAGGAAACCACCACTGCTTCACAAATGTTATTACGTATCGTGGCAGACCCGACAGAAAGATTGAGAATATCAAGCCAAACCAAAATGACCCACTGCCGAATAATGTTTTGGCTATGTCATGAAGTGTGTCCGGAAAATACCCATAGACAAGGACGTATGCAAAGAGAAACACTATTTCACATATTTCTACGGCCCATACGAACCAGGACCAGTAATATGTGTTGAACCCGACAAATAAGTTTGCTATCAAAATTGCCGTAAACGCAACCGCAGTTGAGAACTCTGTCGCACCGGCATCGTAATCTAAACCTTGTTCGACGCTTGCAGATGCTTTAAAGATATAGTAGAATGTAAAATAAATTACAAGGGATTGCCAAATCCCATCAAGGAAATAAATAAAGAATAGCTTCCTAGAATAGCGCATGTGACGTACACCCAAACGATAAACTCTAGGGTATTTCAGGCAATATGAAGCGCTAACGGATTGATCAGTGGTTCCTTTAGATAATGAAAAGTAATTAAGTACCTTGGTAATTGAAGCAGAGGTAGAGATGATGGAACACAAGCCAAGAGGTACATACCTAGAATGATCACAGGACCAACCGTGAATAGCATGTTATATAACTGTACGAAACTATAATCATAAAATATATTGGCTGAAAACCTGAATCCAAATTAATATGATATTTGTCAGTAATCAAGACATTAGAAAGTGGTCGAAGATATATAATAAACTTACATGCAATATATCTGATACCACAACACGGGAAATACCCATATGGCATTCTTATAAAAGAAATTTAAGATCATCTCCGATATACGCATATAATCCCAATGTCCATGAACCAGCAGGAGCTTGCTTAGAAAACGAAATTGCGCAATAGAATAATCAGCTGCCATCGATGCTTGAACACCTATTGTAAAGGAAATTCAAGGGGTCAGTGGAGCCGAACATAGAAGGGAAAGAAAAAGACATGCACAATGGAGGAATATTTACCTTCTTGTCCCGATATACCAACGCCGACGTTAGCTGCTTGAATCATGCTTACATCATTAGCACCATCTCCAATAGCAAGCGTGGTAGATTTTTTTCCTCGGCGCACCAATTCAACAACCAAAGCTTTTTGTAAAGGACTCACACGACAACATATTACCGAGCGGAATACCTCCGCCAACTCCAGCAGTTGCTGACGGCAAGTTACATCATCCAACAAATGAACCAACGCCGCACCATCCACAACAAGGGCATGTTGCTCTTCACTTTTCACGGCCTCTTTTACTAACGATGTTGCAAGTTTGGCTAGTTCGTCCATTACATTCTGTTTTTTTGATCCTTTCACAATATGAAGAGTCATTTCCTTTGTCAACAATTGAGCCGCAAATCCGATATTTATGGCAGTTTCCAGCTTATCACCGGTCAAAACCCATACTTTACATCCTCCTTCTCGAAGCGATGAAATACAATCCGGAACACCCTCTTGAAGTTTATCTTCGATGGCAGTTGCACCCAAAAGAATTAGGTCTTTTTCGATCTCTTCGGAGACCGCGCCTATCTTGCTGGAACGATCACTCACTGAAGTTGCAGCGACTTGATATCTTTTGGACCATGCGTCGTATTGAGTTTCACTTAAAACGCGGTATGCCAAAGTCAAAGTTCTTAGGCCTACAACAATGCAACCAACAGATTTACATTTACACAACTTTAATGCTCACAAAGAAAAAAAATCCGACTTACCATCATTAGAAAAATCCACAATATCTTGCGACGTTCTTTCAATTAGTGCCTCTTGGCCATCCGCCAGTCTTTCGATGATCACATTATCGGCTCCCTTACAGAATAAGACTATGCCGCCACCTAACTCCGCGGGACGACGTACTATTACACTCATTCTTTTTCTTGTCGAATTGAATTCTAGAATGTTTAGAATATCAAAGGTGTACTCACTCCCAAAAATATCGATTGTCATCGAATTGATAGTTCGTGAGAGAAAAGTAAATCCTATATTCTTTGCTGCAGACACCAAAGCTGCCTCATCCGGAGATTCTGCCTTATATACAATGTTATGTGCAACAGTTCTATCGATTTCTTTAAGGTCAGGCTTACGTTCCGGAAGTGAAATTAAGTTGGAGACTGAGTTTATACCTTTGAGTGATGGAATGATCTCTTTGAGCGAACTCTTAACTTTTCTCACGGCTAAATTTAAGGTGGAATGATTTGGATCAGAATTTTTTTCATCTTCTGTCTGTGGTGATAAATTCACCGAGCCTGTGACATCCGGTGGAGCTTCTGTTATAGAAGCTTCACCCCTATCGCTGCCGTTGATCATAGCGTCCTGAGCATTTTCTCCGTTACTCGGGGTTTCATCTACCACAACCGTATGACAGACAGCTAGTAACATGAAAAATTCCTTAATTAGATGCGCTCTGTTTTGAACATCATACTCCACATTGATCTTGTCATCATCGTCACCACCAACATCAGAGCCATTGCCGTCAACCCTCAAATCTCGATATATTTCCGGATCTACAAATGTCAGGAAGTCCTTATTCGTGCTTGAATACTTTGGACCAAAAACCTTCGCCATTTCCTCTAGATACTGCCTGAATATTTCATCTTGATTTTCATGATCATTCTTGAGAACATTTTTTTCTTCCATCATTTCTTTTCCTATCTCAGCATCAGTTTTTCCTCCCCAGCCATTTTTACCGTAAACTTTACCGCCAATAGAGCATTGACGAAATTCCATCACATTACGAGTCAACGTGCCAGTCTTGTCGGAAAATATATATTCGATTTGCCCCAAGTCATCGGAGAGATTCCACTATTGTGATTTAAAATATAGAATAAACAAAGAATTCGTCGTTGTGTAAAAGAAAAAAAAAAGTTGAAAAATAATTCTTGCCGATTTGGGGACACAAGGAGATTGTGAATCTTCATCCCACATATCAAGATCGTTAAAAATGAAAAATGCCTAGACGTCGCGGCACCAAGAAACAAAGTCAAAGAGTAATTGGCGGAATGAATATATAATGAACAAGGAAAAATTGAATTATAATACAAGAAGTTATAATCACCTGGAAGCCTTTCACAAATTCGATCGAAATATATAAGGAAATTGGTATTATATTTTGAAATATAATTAAACCTGACCTAAAAAAAATAAATAGAAGAACACATTTGAATAAATGTTTTAATGTGAACACCTATTCTTAATGAGTGCCTACCAAAATGTTAAGAACGAGGCATATGGTAAGGGATCACGATTAGAGTCTATATTATTCACAATCGATTGTCCATGATAGTGTTTTACAACTTCTATGGCTACTCCACTTCCAATAGCACAAATTAAAGCAAGCACGATGAGTACTAAAAAGTTGAGGATGACCTAGTCAAGGAAAAATTTCAAATATTTATTTTTAGAACAAAACCCTTAATCTAGCAATTAAAAAACAGGAGTAATAAGAATAAACCCTACTTCTTTGTTCATCTCCTTTTCAATTCTGCTTCTCTTACTTGGGGTCTCTCCGGAATTAAGCATTATTTTAGTTTCCACTCCTGTGAAGATGGTTATAGCTATCACCCATTCTGTGTTTCTAATAACATGCGCACGCAATAATAGATTATTTATATCTACAGGAATATTTTTCTTTGTTTTTAATTCATTTGATAAACCATTCTGCGCGGTCAGATCCCTTTCATCTGTGAAAGAAGTGCGAACCTGTTCTTGATCATCCGACTCCGAATCGGGTATGACCAAAGTCGCATTATAGCTAAATAGATTTGAGTTTGGTGCCTCGGATTCCACCCAGAAACACGCATTAGCACAATCTTCGGCCGAACGTATGTTCTTCGTGTCCTGAACACATCGACGAGGCTTGAGATTGGTTTCGCCGTCCAGATCCTTTGTCTCCACAAAGCAAGTTCCCGCTGGCTCCGAGGTCGACAAGATAATTGCATCGGCTGGTACGGCATCTCCATTTCTAAGAAACAAAAAGTCCCCCACACGAATATTTCTCCACATCACTTTCTTAAACGCAGGTGGACCATTTATCTCATTTGATGGTTCAGACGGGATAGTATCATCATCTTTATCGTCAATTACAATTTTTGGTGTATCTTGCTTTTTTTTCCGCAGGCCATTGAAGAACAATTTGATCTTAAGAAGATATCTCTTCCAGTATGGGATTTTTGGATGAACAGGATAGTTGACATTAACAAAATTTTGCAAATGGTAACAAGTTGCACTGTTAAATTGCTCGTCAATTTGATGCCGATTTCGGTCCTCCACTGCGTCTTTGCATGCCGTGAAGAACACGACGGTGGATAGAGGAAGTAATGCCAATATCGGAGAATTTGAACTGAAGGTAGGTATCAGGCCAAGGATGGCCATGAGCAAGAAATACAAGTTGGCAGCCCTTCGAAATTGTTCGAACAAGTTTTTCGGCAGAAAAGTCAATAATGTATACTTCGAAGTGATTATTTTATTTGAAACATATTTGATATTAGGTTGACCCTTACGGTCCAGTAAATGCCCAGGTAAAGATAACTTTGCATACACGCGGCGCCCATTTCCTTTTGGTATTCTGTTTTTTATCTTTGTTTTTGTTCTTTTTAATTGAGAATTTCTCATATCTTTATGACTATCATCACTATTTGCCACGCTTGTCCCGACGGAGACGGGAGAGTCTCTTGTGGTCGTGGTCATTTCTTAGCAGCCCGAAGAGGTATCGAAGGACGGGTGGCTTGGAAGCGAGAACTGAAGGGGAGTTTAATTGAACAACAAAAATGTATTGTTGCAATGCACAATGTACTTTGATGATTCAGGAGTGTTTTACTAATTCCTGATTCAGTTTTAATAGATTTATGTATGTACTACTAAAGCTCCCAAAGTAACATTTCTAGAAAATCGAGAACGCATTATGTGCATAAACTGCCGATTGGTTTTTTTGTGATCTCAAAAGTAAAACAAATAACCTAGAAGGACGTACATGCACATGTTTTGTACGCAT